GTATCACCTTGATATCACAGGGTTTTGGTTCGACATCGAAAACGACGCTTTGATATCCTACAACTCTTTTGGTAAGCTGTCCCTTCTAAAGGCTTTTGTTGAAGAGGTGAGCGTAGCGGTATGTACGTGGTGTAAAGGATGTTGTTGCGCACCACGTCTCTATACTTTTTTACATTTTCTTCTTCACGTTTTATTCTTTTTGGTAGTAACGGCCGGGATTCTAATACCAGTCTTCATGCTCTATAAGCAGGATCCTTTTCATACGTTACTTGATGGACTTGTCAGTCTTACCATTTTTATCGTTGTTCCGATATCGATGGTTGCAACAAGAGTCACGCTTGGATTCTGCAAGGGCGAGGTGATTGATTCCATTCAAACGATTATTTTGGAGGTAACATTTTTCTTCTCGGCATTTTTCGTAATAGCCATTTTGTCACGAGTGATTGTGATTCTACTACTTGGTTTAGCATTACAAAGTGCACCGAATATATACACACTAGTATCTGGAGCTGTGATATTTGTTTTCACAAATGGTTATTATCAACTACGGAAAATTCACAAACGATATCTTGAGTTCCTCGAGATGTGTATGAAACATATCATGCAGTCAGTGGATGAAACAAAGACTTCCAATGTACCCGTCTTTAAAAACAGAGTCGTTCCTTCAAATACAGAGAGTGAGATATGGCCAGCAACAAAAGGAAATAATCAGACACTTTTCCTTACAATGGAGAACAGGTTTGTGCTGTATTATCTGCCGAACGGAGAATCCGCAATCGACCGAGATTTCTTTTTGGATCTATGCAAAGCTGATAGTAATCATTCTCCCGGAGATTTGAAACTGACTTGCATGATAGACTTTGTTAAATTCATTTTTTGGGGAATCGTTGTATCATTGATAATATTTGTGCAGTATATTGTTGCCAAAAATTTCGATAGTTCTTTATATGATCAAGCACCCAGTACTGTTTTAGGCGGACTTCTACCTATTTTGTTAGATTCTATTTTGTTTCCTGAACACAAAAAAGAAGAAAACGCAAATTTGACCAGACTGTTGAACGATATGAGAAAACAATTTAAAAAGGAATATCGTGTTACCGACTTCGAAATGAACGGCAAACCAGTCGCTTGTAATGAAGACCAAATAGGAAACGTCTGGCAAAGAATATGTATTGAAAAATCCCCAAACGGCGGCTGTTTTTGCCTTAAAAACAGCGTGCAAGAACAATCAATAGTAGGACGTGGATTAGAGGTGGTCGAAGAAGAGGTACGTATAGGAGAGGAGACAAGCCGAGGAAGAAGTGAAGGAAAGGTATCAAATACAGGGAAAGTTGAATATCATAGAGGTAAACAAACAGGAATTAAAAACACAACTTTCATAAACGAGAGTGACACACATATATAGTCTTCTTGACTAGCCAAAAGATATAATACTGGCCGATATTTGTAAACTAGAGTATTGTATATTTATCAATGACACACAAATGCATACTTGGTTTGTCGTAAAAAGTACGTCTCATGTTTAACATAATATACACAAGCTATAGACAGAGGAATGCTTATTTATCAATTATTCATCTTTAAAGTTTCTTGATTACATATCCATTTTGTTAATTATCCTAATGTAATTTTAGCAGACCTGATGCAGGTTAATGGAAACAGAAATAAAAACATTATACCGAAAGCAGGCAACCATGTAAGCAACGATGTCATAAACATAGAAATAATTAAATGTCAGTATTTATAGTTAATTACATATAACTAGATAAATTATCCTCTACTCTTTATTTCATATGATAAAGATATGTAAATATTTGTTCAGGACTGATATATCTTTTATGTGAACTAAATGTGCCTTACATATATTTCAGAATTTTGTTGCTATTTTTTTTCAATTTTATAAAAGGAAGCATCTCTCGCAATCCATTATGTGAAACCACAACAATGATTTTGATTAGAATTAATTAATCTAACCTGTATATCATACATGTATATTTTCTGGTTATTTATGATGTCTATGTTGATATTGATAATCCTATATATTAGTGTACAAGTCTGTAAATACTTTGTAACAAACCAATCTCCAGAGTAAAGTAACATTAAACAAAAAACTGCCTTCTCTATATTTTACAGCTAACCAGCGAAACTTTCACAACCAATTATAAAGTAGTCAAGACTACGAAGTATAGGAATGAAATAATCGGGTACACGTGTATATTGATTTTGTGATAATAAGTTGTCTTGGGTGAAATCACGTTTTATGATTGGTCGCAGTTGAGGGGAACAACCATAGCAACCGGTACGAGAATTTGAGGGACAGAGGAACATAATCAAAAGATTTTAATCTTTCACGTGAATGTATTTGAAAGGGTGCAGACAGAATTCTAGTGTAGACGATGTGAATCTCACTGTAAACGGAGTTTAATTTTTTTTAAATGGCGGTAACGAGCAGACGATGAGATATGGGTTTTTATTCCACGTGTAAAATTTATAACTAAATTATAGGAAGTTTTCATTTCAATGAGCCTCTGACATGCACAGCTAAGAAAATACCGACTCTTTGACAGAATCTTAATTCAAATTCGAAATCATTGAAACCCTAAGGCAAAATATGACCAAAAAGGAAGATTTAAACAATAATGCTAAATATCTCGTAAAGATTTTTTTAAATGTGTGATCGCTGAGCAGGTCATTTCAGATTCTAATACGGTAAATGTCCAGTGAAACTGAATATTGAAATTGAAAGTGAATATCTTTCTGGTTAATTAACTTTTGGAAGTACAACATTTTTGACCGATTTTATTTATAGAACAGAGGAGTCGTTTGACCAAAAGTTATGAAGGGTTTCGTTTCTTTAAGCGAAGCAGAATACACTTAGTCGTCCGGAACACAAGGTCTTATTATCTTTGTACTTTCAAAAGAATCTGTGAGTAAAACTGTCATTTGTACACATTTTATCATATTTTCATTGAATTTGAGATTGGATTAAAATTCTGCTAACAGGTTTGTATTTTCTTTGTTCCTAAACCTAACTACACAGGGTTTTTTTTTGTCCAGTTTTAAAAAATATCAAGAGGATCTAGTAACAAGCTCAAGCCTGATGTAAAATCATCTCTTATGATGACGGAGATTTGATTCTCGACTGGATATGAAAAGACATGACTCCATGTGTTTCGGGTCTATTCTTCAGAACACTTCACATATTCATTTGGGGATGTTATTTAAGACTACCCCTCAGTCTAAGTTGGTCTCCGAGTTTTAACTGTATTTGTGGACATATCGATTGTAATGATATGGTTTGGTGACCTACTTCCCACCTTAACAGTGGGAAGTAATGATATTTTTTTCGAATAAGCGAATGCTGCCCCAGTAAACAAACCCCTAATAGGGACGAATGTAGACAGATTCGTCACTTAACGGATTACTTGTGGGTCTGTTGTCTTTGTTCTGAATGGATTTCATATATCTACAAAGAGGTGGAAATAACTGCTGGGGATGAACAGTTTTCTGAAATTGGTATTACTTGGAATTTTCATGGATTATTGTAAAGTAAAAAAGATTTCTGCTCTGAAAAAACATACATCAGTCATGTATGTACATGATGTATCGCATATATCATAATAAAAGTAGACATTGCTATGATTTCAGTCAAAGCGTCTATTTTTAATATCATTCTTATTTTTACATATAAATAATAAAAGCTGATTGATAATGTCTGTCTGGATCAACTCTTTCTTGTTGTCGAGGCATAAGTTGTATTGGATCCAGCTCATGACCGGGAGTGGCATGCAAAATTTCACGAAATTTGTTTTATGAACGCGAGTATTTTGATTCGGATAAAAAGGTACTTCTAAATACATACCGATTTTTTTCTTATTTAGTACCGGATCTTTCGAACAGATTTAATTACAGATTTCATAACCAAACGGATCCCAGTTTGCTATCATTGCAATGAACACACAGCTGAGATATCTTATGAATAAAGTTCTATGAATGAAAATAGTAGTTCCAAAACCTCTCACTAGATGGCACCATGGCTGATACAAATTACAGATAGTGATGGTGGCGACATAAAACACAAACGAAATTTCTTTTTTGTGAAAAAATAGTACAACAACAATGATGAAATATGTCAACGCAATACAGTTTGTGTAGCATAATTATAATTAAAAATTGAAAAAGTACAACCTAATTCTATTCCATGATATTTAAACTCTAATACACATATTAAAAACTCGGAGTAACAATTTAATACAGACTGTAATTTACAATTATGACACTTTGTTACGATCGATATGGTGATTTATTGAACAAACATAATCAATTTGCGACAAGGCATAATTTACACATATACTGATTAAGATACATACAGCATAATACAAAAACATACTAACACAAGACATCTTATATAGCCCTGCACACAGTGAAATGAAATGGAGACATAATGATTTAAAAGAAGTCTTGTTAAAAACCTATTAACAAGCACAATATATCATGTACAAACGTATATAAAACATGTATGATAAAAAATAAAACGCATTACGTACCAAATTTTGCAAATAAGACAGAGGTATAAGTAACAATAGACTGACACCAACACTGATAATGTATTTTACCATTTAAAGTTCCGGAAAATTGAACAGGAAAATCTTTACTGCTTTCATAACTGTATCGTTTATTTCAATAATCATTTCTAACATATTTACCGCCCGCAAAACCGGTGATAGATAGTGGCAATGTGCAGTCGAATATTACCTGGCCATTCGTATATAGATAGTTTAGAGCGTGCATTGTGTACATAATTAATGGTGAAATAGCTATTCTAAATATAGAACATTACCATTATATATTGGCCAATGAAAACAGAGCATACGGTATTGCACCACCAGGTGTTAACTCGTGGCGTTGTATATAAACACGACACTACTCGGTTGTTGACAGTACAACAGTTAAGTCTACTGAGTGTTTTGCTGAACAGAAGCGTTTCTATAATTATCAGCATGGTGTACAAGACTTGTAAGTCTCGGGTTCGCTCCGGCAACACTCTACGAACTTCTAATTCAAGGTAAGTTCCGTATGACAACGTACATATAGGTTCAGTACAGCAATAATTTGTACTATATTTAGAAGCGGTCTTCATAAAAAATCTTGAATTGTAAGATAAATTAAATATGTAATTTATTTAATAATTGGCATCATAGGAAGAATTCCTTTTTCGTCTGTAGTGCTATTTTATTTATCGTCAAAATGGAGTTATAAACAAGTTAATTATAATATCTACACCTGTATATACTACACAATCTTCTCCACTCGTTGTTTTTCCTGAGATACAGTTCAAGTTGTGCAACGAATTACGAAATGGTTGCCTTCATATGTAGTATAAGATGTTCAACTAGAGGCAAAGCGTTTTTTACTGCATATTTGTTTGAGTTCGTAGGGGCTAATATTTCGCGGTTATCCCAGTTCGGACATGTTCCCGAGTTTTAAATTTCGCGGATATGTCTCCATTGTTATTAATTCATACAGCGATATATGGTGTCCTGATTAGCTGTTTGTTAAATCTGCTTGCTGGGAATTTTATTTCGCACTTTATCTAATGACAATGTTTATACAACAAAAGTAATTCACACGAGAATTTTACCAAATGTACAATATACAAATATTACATACTATGATCAGGAAAATAATTTTTAAAATATCCAGTACATGTAACCGGTATATTTGTCGTCTAGGTAAAATGAATATTTAAGTCCAAATGTTTTGTATGATATTACATGACGTTACAATATAGGAATAATCACGGACTCATAAGATCTAAATTCGTTGATAATGTATCATTTATACATAGTTTACATGTTTCATACTTGCGAACTAGTCAGGACAATCAAAATAAAAAGTTTTTTTAAAGAGAAGTAATGATATCTTATTTTTACTTTCCTTACAGGTGATACGCTAAGTATATTAGAATATCATCAAAAACAAAATATTCTAAGGGAAGCAACTCCTGATAGATTATTTTATATATGTATATAACAGACAACTGATTTAAGTGTCAATAGTGTATTAACATGTAACAATTTTCATCGTTTTTGATGCCATACATCCATGTATTTCAAGATTACAACAATAGATAGATGAATAAATAAAAAGAAAAGAAAACAAAATACAAATATGTATATTTTACAAAAGGATGACTCTACCAAAACAATGGTACAACTTACTTATGTACATATTGTAACTGATATTTATTTCCCCTTTAACAGAGACAGACATCTGTACAGAAGGCAGTCGTATCTTATTCGTCAATCAACGAACGGCATCAACGAAACTATCTTGGAAGACCTTGGGTTCGACAAAGACGATGTCGCATACTCCCTTAACAAGAAAGGACGATGGCTAGTGCCACAAATTTTAAAACATGAATTCAAACACAATGATGCTAATATCAAAATGGATCTTGTTGAATCCCATAAATTGAAACGGAAAACGAAGTGTACAGGATTTCACTCTAATAGCGGTTTTCTGAGAAAAGTTTTACCTAAGGGAACTTACTTCAATGCCAGCAGCCTTCAAAACAAGACTTCAGCTTCGACAGTAACGGTCAACATTGTTACTCCATGTCCGACAACAAGCTCACTCGCTCACAATCCTAAATACCTCGATTTCTCTCCGACCCCTACGCAACATTGTGACAAAGAGTCGAATCCTCCTAAAAGTAGAGCAAACACACGCAGAAGGGGACTATTTGAGGACATGACGTTGTACGAGCAACACGACGAGTTTGACTATTCCGAAGACGAAGACGAAAATTTCGAAATCAACGAGGACGGTTACAAACGTCCAAATGAAGTATATGTCGGAGACATCATTGTTCATTCTAACGATATGCAAAAATTACTCTTCGAAGAACTTGAACTATCAAAACCTGAAGAAACCTCGAGAGGACCATATCACCAACAGCTATTTGCAGAGGGACCATGGAGGAAAGAGGATGAAGAGGCGGAAGAATATTTAACTAATCTCGCTTCATCCGTGATACCAATAGCAAAGCACTTAACCTTCTTCATACCAAACACAGAAGTGTTAACAGGGCATCTCGAGGAAACCTTCGGCGAACACTACATTGAATGCCACTGCTTCCCACGGAAGTTCATCATTGACATTACTGATAGAGTAACCAAAACACTAATGAAAGCTAAAGCTTTCCATAATAGAGATATGAATAGAGTTGACCTGTCAACACTCCTGATATTTGCCTACGATATGTTTGGTAGTTTCAACAGCACAGACACAGATTCTTTCAAAGTTTCCATTAACATGAAAACATCCGAACTTTGTCTCAAAATAAACACTCTTCCTGAAAACGATGTATTTGGAATTGAAGAAATTATTCAGGGCGCGGTAGCCTATATAGAATCTATTCCTTATGACAACTTTGTACAAAGGAATACACCGACTCCTTACACCAGACCAGAAAACACCAGCCAAAGTATTTTGAAACTACCTCTCCCAGATGTAACGGTCTTCACTCCAGAAACCATCAGTATCAAAGACATGCTGAAAGAGGCTAAAAAGAAATGTCATGAATCAACAGGAAGCTTTGAATCTCTTCCTCCAGACACGTGTTCCGTTTGCTTTGAATCAATTCTTGAGAGTTCTGCGACAGCCTTACAAGCATGTGGACACTGGTTTTGTGATCGTTGTTGGAATGACCATGTAACGTCGGCAGCCGATGGTATCACCGGGAGCATTTCGTGTCCTGAATATAAATGCAAGTCTCTTGTTGATTTCGACATTTTACTCACAACTTCGAATCTTCAAATTGTTGAAAAAGTGTTTCGACGACGACTTAGCACGGACATTGCGAAAAGGTCAGACTCCAAATGGTGCCCAAACAAAAAGTGCGGACGCGTTGTTAAGTGTGAAAAACATGAAATCTGGAAAAGCACTAATGTTACTTGCGAATGTGGAACCGAGTTCTGCTTTGACTGTTTACAATCAGTTCACTGGCCATTGTCATGTAGGGATCACGACAAGTATTTGGAGAAACTTAAGGAGCATGGACATATCGAAAGGGCAAATTCTCCCGAGGAAGTGTTCACGTTCACTCTTCGTGGAAAACGTTGTCCTGTTTGCAATGTTTTTATGGAGAAGAAAGGTGGTTGTTTATCTATGTATTGTATATGTGGCACAAATTTCTGCTGGGGATGTCGAACAAAAATGGAGTTGCATCCTCCGGAGTCTTGTTTCAACGGGGATATGTATACTACAGAGGCTGATAACTTTCGGACAAGGAAATTCAAACTCGTTCATAAAAGCAATTATGGTCTCACTAGTGACATGCCAGACTGGTATAAACGTGCTGTAACCATTCGCAAGAGTACTAACCCTTCTAGGGTAAAAGTGATGACGTCAGCCGTTCGAACCATGTGCAGAGCTCTGACGTCATACAAACGACGCAAAGATAATGACATAGGTGCAGAACTTGTAAACTTTGAAGTCCAGCCATCAAATATTCATACCTCTTCAATAGATAAAATCCATCCATTTCTAACTAGTATGATAAGTGTTAACCTCGAGGCATCTCGCGTCGTCGAATACACTACCGTGTTCCTCGAGAAATCACGAGATCAAAATTTGGCAGAGATGCGAGATCGTCTCCAACGTCTGACTAAAGATATTTTCAGAATTTTTAGCAAGGCGAACAATCTGGATTTGAAATCTTCCATCTCGCGTCTATTTCATCTTCGTATCGAGTGCGAGAAAATAGTCAAGGACTTGGTTAACTATGTGGAATAATATGTTCCAATGGGAACATTATCAAACTGGTCGAGAATTGACAATTGTCAGAAAATTGGTTGTTCTTAATATATAATATCGGTGTTTAAAAGGCCGACAAAGTTCATTACATACGTAATTAATTTTGAGCTTCAGAAATCTGTAATCTGTCACCATTTCTATTTATTACAATTACTGTCATTTCATTGCGTAATAATAAAGATATATAAAACTACATGAATATTGGGGTTATATATTTAGTTTACTTTTAGTGTAAACTATTTTATTGCAAAATATTGCAAATGGGTTATTGTTACTTATAATCGCACTTCCCATTATACTTTGACATGAATACTGTGTAAAATTGAGAAAATACATATTGAAATAAACAATAAATGTATAATTAATTTTGAGAGAGAGAGAGAGAGAGAGAGAGAGAGAGAGAGAGAGAGAGAGAGAGGAGGAGTAGGGAGAGAGAGAGAGAGAGAGAGAGAGAGAGAGAGAGAGAGAGAGAGAGATGTATATATGATGAACATGTATACAACATATAACAAATAGTGATCAGATCGATATAGACACGATCGATACTTTCTACTAAAAGTTCATATGAACCCGAAAAATCGTTTACATTGGTATCCATCGTGACAAACCCTCTTCTTTTCCACACAAAAGTTAGTTAAAATTAACCTGCGGTTTGTACAATAAATATTTAAATCTCAAGGTACCTGTAAATCGTTTAATATCTTAAAGAGGATGCTTCTTTCAACATCACAACGACAACATTCAAAGAAAACGTAAATATGTCGATAAGTACAGCTGGTTGTTTCCTCAAATTAAAATAAGTCATAGTTTTAAAAACTATACTGGTGTCTAAGATTCGAATGAACAGCATCAAATTAGCGATCTCCATTACCAAGTTAGAGGGGAGAGAAGAAATTTGATTCGTCAGTTCCTATCCAATAATTAATAACATGTATTTTCTTAAATTCTCAATAGAGTATCTTGTATCAAAAATTTCACTTTCAAGTTTTTTGATATTTCGCTATTATATAGAGCGGTTAAGAAATCAACCAGTTATTCTATCATCATGAGGGGAGATCTGAATTCTATATTACCAGTACAGGAAAGGAAATGTATTAAAAGGCAATTAATAAAACGGGAAAATAAAATTGTTTTGTGAAGTATTGCTTTACGTCTCATTAACAGCCAGGTTCACTTAATGACGTGTCAGGTTGGAGTGGTAAAGCAAAGCCAGAGTACTCAAAGAAAAACTTCCAACCTTTGGCAAGTACCCCGCGACTACCCCACATAGGCCATAAAACCACAAGGTGGGGGGCTAGTGATAAAGACGGGTTGACGCCTTTTGTTTATCTTTTATTAAAATCAACAAAGCAAATCACTTAAACACAGTTGTAAAGAAAATACATCATATCAATTAATTTATAACGTATATAACAACGACAAAGATACAAGCCTTTCAATGTCTAGCCCAAAGCAGAAAGAACCGGAAATATATAAATATTTTTAGTATCATAAATGATAATATAAATGACTCCTTTCATCACAATAGCAAAAGGAAAATTGATGAAATAGATTGCATTTTCTAACTTTACTGGTGAATCCCAGAATTAAAATATTTTCAACTGCTATGTCTCTAGTTGTTTGGAGAAACGGCTTTAAAAAGATCCTCATTTTGTACATCTTATGAACAAATGAAGCGTCTCAATTTGCTTATGGCGTTCCCTCTTCTCAGTAATTTTTCCATCGAATAAAATAACATTTTGAACATTTTAAAATCTAAATAAATACAATCTTGTGGAAAATTGATAAAACACTTTTTTCAAAGATACATTAAGATATAATTCACATTAAAAAATGTCGTCTTTGGACGCTTGCACTTTATAAGTAAATCATAAAGGTCACGTGTAGGTACAGAAACTGTCTGCCATGTGCAACCAGTAAGTCGCGTGAATGTACAGGAACTATTTTGTATGTGCTACCAGTAAGTCACGTGTGCGGTCAGGAACTATTTGGCATGTGCAACCAGTAAGTCGCGTGAATGTACAGGAACTATTTTGTATGTGCTACCAGTAAGTCACTTGTGCGGTCAGGAACTATTTGGCATGTGCAACCAGTAAGTCGCGTGAATGTACCGGAACTATTTTGTATGTGCTAACAGTAAGTCACATGTGCGGTCAGGAACTATTTGGCATGTGCAACCAGTAAGTCACGTGTGCCGTCAGGAACTATCTGGCACTTGCAACCAGTAAGTCACGTGAATGTACTCGACAAATTTGGTCTGTGCTACCAGTATCCTTTTCAATTTCAACAAAAGGTTTTAAATGATTTTGTGTATAGACATTAGATAAAGCAGTTTTTATAGTCTCGCAGAATTGATATCGTAACAAGTTTAAAGTCCGATAGAAATACACAGATATATATAGTACTATTAGTATCGCTTTCATGAATATCATCTACTATGGTACGGAAGTGTAGGATAAAACGTCATATGTCACATCTGCTTTTCCGCCACTTGTAATTCCCGAGTTTATAAACAAACGTTACTGATAAACATTAATTTTTAATTTAAAAACACAACATTTTGAAATTCAGACCATGCTAAACACACGTCTTTCTACACACAAATATGCATACAAAAATATACATGTACAAAAACCATGTATAAGATAGAACCAATTACGTCATAACATAATGACGTCATCATAATAACACGCAACCCTATAAGGAAGCGGGCCGGTATCCTCTTTCGGTCAGATGATGACGTCATACATGCAGTGGAGGACTTTCTGAACGGTCGAAGAAAAGGACAACTTTAAAAGTGACATTGTGGCCCTGAAATGTCAATGGCAAAAGTGTTTAGATACTGAAGGGGATTGTTGTTAAAAAATAATACAATATGTTCGCCAAAAGCCAAACCCTTAAATATCTCACAATTTATCAATCAGCCCTCCTAATATATCTAAACAATAAAAGATGTATTTAGTAACTTATATTTGCAATAACGACTTTCTATTGGTCGTAGCGTGATTTAGATACCTCCCAAAATAACGAAGAACTTTACATTGGTAAAAAACAGTTGAATCAATTTGAAAACAGGTGATCAACGATATAGGTATGGTTTGATATTCAACGACCTTATTTCTGAATATGTTGGACATCATAGTATAACATAAATTGTTTAGAAATAGAGTGAATGAAAAAAGAGAAAAGAGGTGTACAGTTTGGTCGCGGAGCTATAACACTCGAGGTGTACTCAAAATAATTGTATAGTGGTTATGAAGCGAGTACACTGATTTTTATTTTGTTTTGCTACTACCATGGAATAAAAAAAGATGTAAGTAGGTTAACTGTAATCAAATCCAACTTCATTAAAGCACAACATTTCTTATTTTCCTCCATAGATATTTTTAAGAAGTTGATACCCACATCTATTAGACAATCAGAAACAACATACATTTTACCGAATTCGTGAAAAGAAAAATGCAATTATTCTTATGAGAGAAAAAAGGATTTTAAAGAATCAGACAAGAGGTAAATTTCCAGTTAAACCAGCCCTTCCGGCCCAGTTAGTTTCGCTTTCCCAAAGGATGCTTCTGGCAAACGTCATTCCTCTAGATAAAGAAGGATATATTTTTTCGAATATTGAGCCCTGTCACTTTGGCACTCTGCAAAATTGGTTTTCCAATGATGTTCTTAAACGGTTTTGGTAAAAACAGTATCATACTTCAAACCCAATTTTTATACGAAAGCAATTCCACTTTTCCCAAAGATACTCCAGGCAAAATTTTGTCATCCTAAATGAGAAGGCTTTTATTCTAAAAATTGCCATTTTCCCCATAATTTGTTCCACCCTTCTAGTTCCTATCTATATAAATATAGATAAACTTTTTTATGATGCTGTTAACCCAACAGTAGAAGGATTTTTAAAGTTTTTCCTCTATTTCACTTAATTGGCTCCGTCCCTCTGTCTCTAAGAGGTCACTCCCACCATTCAATTAGAATTGAATCCTCTCAACCCAGATTTGAACAAAATTAGACCACGATTGGGAAAATTAGAGCAAAATACAATTATTCTTACAGAAAAAGGAATTTTACAGAAGAAGAAGGATGTCAGTGAGTTCGAATTATTTCTCATCTTCAATGTCTGAATCCTCTCAACCCAGATTTGAACAAAATTAGACCCACTGTTTACACAAAATTTGTTTTCCATCCCCCCCCCCCCCCCCCCCCCCGACCAAAAAACGTGTTTTGAACGATTCGATTTAAAAGATATTCCTCTATTTTATACTGGATTCCGCCCCTCTGCCCCTCTGCCCCTCTGCCATTCTGCCCCTCCGCCCCACTGCCCCTCTGCCATTCTGCCATTCTGCCTCTCCGCCTCACTGCCCCTCTGCCTCTCCGCCCCACTGCCCCTCTGCCTCTCTGCCCCTCTGCCATTCTGCCTCTCCGCCTCACTGCCCCTCTGCCTCTCCGCCCCACTGCCCTCTGCCTCTCTGCCTCTCTGCCCCTCTGCCATTCTGCCTCTCCGCCTCACTGCCCCTCTGCCATTCTGCCTCTCCGCCTCACTGCCTCTCCGCCCCACTGCCCCTCTGCCTCTCTGCCTCCCTGCCCCTCTGCCTCTCTCCTTCAAAATCTTGTCATTCCAACAGAAGAAGAAGAGGATGTTAAAAGTTCACTCTATTTCCCTGTCCCCCGGGCTCTAATGGAACGAAACTCAGTGTTTAAGCAAATTTGGTTTCCCTTCCAACCGCTCCCGCTCCCCCCCCCCCCCCCCACCCCCGCCCCCTCCCCCACCCCACCCCACTTCAAAAACGATTAATCTATTTCTCATATTTTATTTAGTAACGTATGAAAATGGCATTTGGTACATGACAATAAACAACAGAATTTCTTGTATAACGTCTCATGGACAAAAAATCAACTTTGGTAAACAAACACCAGAGGTCTGTATGGACGGCATCATTCACGATATATATACATATATATCGATAATCACTAAAAACCATTTAATTAAACATAAATATGACAACGAATTTCCCATGTTGGGATCTGTCTCTTTGAACTAAACATCTTACGATGTAAAGCAAATGTAATGCTTTTAAAATCCCCTGTTGATCCGTATAATTTTAACTCTAGACCAAATTCTGTCAAAATTCACGCTGGAATTCTTCTCAGTAAACGGCATTTTAAAGACTGAAATGATAGATGGACCGCCGGACGAACGACGAATCCATACCCTTGCATGAATTTACCAGTAGAGTTAACTAGATATTCAAGAGAAAATAATATGTCAATATTTTGACCAATGTTAAACGAATGGTCCCCAAGTGTTTTTAATTCACATTAAAAACAATGTTATTTACATTTGCTTGAAATATGATTTGATAATGTTACACTGTCAGTTTAGAAAACTATTATGTTGTATTACATTTCATTAATTCAATTCTGGTAGCAGTTTGAAAGAGACGTTCACTTTAATGTTTTAAACAATTAAAATATTGAGCGCATGGTCAGAAATAGAATATTTTAGATATGAAGAAGTACATATCTAGATTAAATTTGTTAAATAATGAACAACGTTTCACGCTGTATACGGTTCACACGAGTGTTCGAAATGGTCCACGGATAACACAGTAAGGAAATTAGTCAGCACTTCAGCAGCTTAACCAGACTGTCAACTGCCTTTTTACATTGGAATCGGAGAGTCCAAAGATGTGTAATATTTTCTTTCATGTTTTGTTTGTTAGAAGACTGGAACACGTGTGATATATCGTTGCCGATCATTTCCAAGCGATCTCTTGTCCGGATTACCGCATGTCTTGACGATCTACTCATACTGTCTAGATTGTCTGATGTATTGAGGTATACTGTAGACACCTCGCAGATGTGACTTATTTCCAGATAAACCCCTATTATGCTGTTCAGAAACGGCTTAATCTTGTCCGCCACTGCCATCTTGTCCGTCAGTTTTGACGTTGTGAAGTCCACTAACTCCCCACCAACGCGGTTACCAAGACGTCGATGGAGCATTCTTAGTGAAGTCGACATCTTGTGTACAGCAGACGACAAGGTTTTAACATTTTCCGAACGACGAAGGTTTCTGTAATACACTGCTTTTTCATATCCCGTATGGTCATTAGGGGAACTTTGAGTTACACTAAGTGCCCTCTTTTTGGTTTTATATAATTCGCCTTTTCTTTGTTTACCTATTCGCGTGCAGATTGTTCTGAAAACGTGGTTCTGGAAGTCTTTACCACAACCCCAGCAGAAATAACAGCCACAGACGCATCTCATGTAAGAACTACCGCCATTCTTTTCCAAGAACTGTTTGCATCTCGGACACTCCTTTCCTTGTGCAAAACGGATGTAATCTTCACCTGGTTCTTCGTCATCTCCAAATTTTCGAAGTGCATTCGAATAAGAGGCAAAGTCCTCACATGCTAATGGCCAATGTGCCTGCTTCAAACAGTCAAAGCAAGCACTGGTTCCACACAAACAGGTGAAAGTGGCTTGTTTCCCTACAGTATTCCTTTCACATTTAATGGAACGTCCACAATGCTTGTTTGGGCACCATTTTGAGTCAGGTTCAATTTCAAGGTCAATTGCTAATCTTCGTTGAAAAACCTTTTGCACTATTTTTATGTTTGATGTGGTAAGTAAAATGTTATAATCAACAGCAGATCGGCACTTGTATTCTGGGCACGTAATTTGCCCTGATCCACTATTCGTAACCGAGAGCAGATGGTCAGCCCAGCATCGGTCACAGAACCAGTGTCCACAGATCTGGAGAGCAGTGGCCGAACTCTCCTCAATAGCTTCACAGCAAATGGAGCAAGTGTCTGGAGGAAGCAACTCCAAATCCGGCGCAACCAGAGACTCATTTTGATCTAGATCTTTTTCTGGGCTCTGAAGAAGATCTTTCACCGTTATACGATGGTGAATTGGATTGATCGACTGGACTTTTGTTCCTCTGCTTTCCGCTAGTATCTCAAATTCTGTGTGAGGCTGTCTTGCATATGGCAGTAGCGAATCTCTGTGTACAAATTCATCACACGGAATAGTTTCTGTATATGATACAGCTTTGTTGACAATATCCTCTACACTACATACGCTACCTTCCGGAAAGGTGTTGATTCTGGTAGATGATTTTCTCGTCATCATATTGAGACAAATTTTGAACACATCAGCATCGGTGTTATCTAAACTGCCATATATGTCGTAGACAAATATCAAAGCTGAGGAAAGGTCCAAACTAAATACATCGACATCACGGAAAGCTTTCGACTTTAGGACAGTATTCTGTACTTTTTTGGTGATGTCGATGACAAATTTTCTTGGTGAGCAACGGCACTCACTGTAGTCATCACCAAATGTTTGTTTAAGTGTTTCTATAGCAACCTCATTGGTAGGGATATTAACGCGGACATATTCCATCGAATGAATCGTTTCTTCCCCTGACGTCACATCCGCCTTCTTTATATCTACCTCTTTTTCCTTCACTTTTTCTTCTTGTCTATTCAAATATACGATTCTGTCTTTTGTTTCTCGCCTGGTCACTTGATATTTCGGCACCTTTGCTCCTCCAGATAATATGTCTTGCATCCTGCTGGAATGAATCAAGATATCCTCGACAGATACTGAAAGGGGTAGATCACGGACGTTTTCATTTGAGTCTAATTCATCACCATCATCATCATCTTCATCATCATCATGGTTTTCTTCCTGCTCTAAGTCATCCAAATAGTTGTCGACCCATTGTTTTGTTCCATTTTTCCTTCTTTGTTTCCTTGATTTGCTTTTAATTGGATTACTTTCTTGTGGTCTGTCATTACCATCTTGCTCCAAGTCATCAGTAGGCTTATCTTCAAACCGGATGTACTTGGGATTGTGGGCTATGGAACTTGTCGCCGGACATGGATACAAAACATTCATTTTCAAATGAGGTGTTGTACTAGAAGTAGCTTCTTCCGTTTTTCGACCTTGTAAACTTGCGGCATTGAAGTATGTTTTCTTTGGCATTACCCTTCGAACGCACCCTTTGTTAGACAGAAATCCGGTGCATGTCCCTTGCTTCTTTAACTTATGAGACTCGATTAACTCCACTTTGACGTCGCCGAGTTCTTTGCTATCCATTAGGATTTCCTGTTTTAGGATCTGTGGTAACAGCCATCTCCCTTTTTTATTAAAAGAATACACAACACCGTCCCTGTCCAGTCCAAGTTCCTTAAAGATACCAGTAACCTTGGTAACGTTCTGTGAGTGTCGTACCAGGCATGAATGTCGTCTGTACTGACGATTATATCTACAGTGAAACAAGAAAAACTTTAAAGTACAAACATTAATTCCACATTCCATATATGGAAGCAAAGAATCATAGCGTTAAATCTGGTGACAAAATATAGCGTCAACACACGAGTACAAAATATCATAGCGTCAACACACGAGTACAAAATATCATAGCGTCAACACACGAGTACAAAATATCATAGCGTCAACACACCAGCACAAAATATCATAGCGTCAACACACGAGTACAAAATATCATAGCGTCAACACACCAGCACAAAATATCATAGCGTCAACACACGAGTACAAAATAAACCCATGGTAATATTGTATCCATCGTCAACACCCGATGACAAAAATCACTATTGTAATCAGTGATAATCGGATAATTATGAAATAAATAATGTTACAGAACTGAATTCACATAAAATAAAAAAGATTACGACATTAATATATAATGACAACGTCATGGCATCAGTAACCATGGAAATCAAATTTTGATAAGAAATGTCAACATTGTAGAACAAAACTGTATCGCTAGATATCGCGTGAATATGATCTATATTGTCATAAATATTGTCTTGACACTATCAAAAGGTTTAAATTATCCTACCGCTTGAAGATGGCTTTGTTTGGTTACATACTGATTTATGATACATTTGTAAGTGACTTAAATATATAGATATATACCAAACACATTTCCTCATTAAGAAAAAGCTCGAGACCTACAAATACCGAAAATGTACATAAGTAACACATATAGGTTCACTTCTGCATAAGACGCAGAGTTTCTTTCATTTGAAAAAAAAAAAAAAAACAACACATCTGATTCATATAAAAATAATGAATGTAGACGGCGAAATATCATTATGTCTGATTAATTGATATGTGCCTTAGAAAATGGAGGTAGACTTACATTAATAAAGTTTATGCTATTGTTAATCAATAAATAAACTAGATATTTAGCGGTAAACTATGCTCACAGATATATAGGTAAAGCCGAATCACAAATAAAAGGTCTGCGTTAATATATAAAGTACACCTGTGCCCTGTGTAATTTAGGGAGGTAAAATTCTAACCTTGAATTAGACGCCCTGAGCGTGTTCCCGGAGTATACCCGGCGTTTGTCAATCTTGTACACCATAACGTCTGTCCGATGTCAGAATAAGGACAGACAGAGCCACTCACAGATACCAACCCGAGATTCCACAGTATATATACACAATTTTACCACGGGTGGTGCAATAAGAAACTAATAATAGACCATTTATTTTTAAATCACAAACCTGAATGATCCAAGCGCAGTGCGTACGTACATGTACATGTATACATTACCATCGTATAAAGGTTCACGTGCCTAGGAAACGATATACCTGACGTATGATACCATATATGTCCCGTGTTTGATTTCATTGTCGATAATGCCACTTTACTATGTAACCATTAAGTATCATAGATACAAAGCGTCTCTACACAAAGCTATATTTAGAATAGTATACAACGGCTGAACATCAATATGTGGATATATATTATCTACAACAATACATGTATATTTAATTGTTTTCAATTCGTGGTTAAAACTATCATATTTTAAAAATTATCATTGTTTTTATTATGTTGTGTACGGATTATGCCCAGAAAGCCAGATCAATATACTTTATACCCTATACAAATACCACACTTTCCCTTTACATAGTACATACACTATGGTATGTGTACCATCAGGTAGGAAGTCATACATATACTATAGACATTGTCGTGTCAACAGGTGTATGACAATTTGAAACTTGATAAAAAAATCAAGAAAACGCATAGTAAAAATACGCTGTAAATGTTCATAAGCACCCTCATCACTAAGGCATTTATACCTGTTGTAGATGTACGTATCTTCAATATAAAAAAAATACCTGAATTATTTTCATTGTTACGGATACCTGACGTATCAAACTCACACAAAGTACCTTCGCCATAAAATGGCGGCGTAGTGTCGTTCCTTGCTGCCATTCTTTAAATCAGGAATGATTTGGTTTCTGCTCATTATGACACGGAATTCGTTCAATTTAACGAGTATCTCAAATTAATTTCATTACAATTTTGGAGATATCTAGTTCTATAGATACTTGTGGCGAAGAAGTATTTCATTATCTTTTTTCTTATAAATATATGTGTTATCTATCAAAACAAATAACAAAGTTTCCTTGTTTTTAAAGAGAGAAGTTGATTGTACGTTTAATAACATTTCCAAACTTGTTTGAAAACTTTACAGCTGATCGCATTCCCAAAACACATGCAAAACTGTCTCCCTTCCTCTATTACAAAATTTACCATTCATTTTGTTTTTAAGCCTTGTTCTATGTGCGTGTAAATTAGCTATTAAGATATACGGATTAAAAAATAGAATTCAGCCAATGTATATATAACAAGGGATCCTACTTACATAAGAGTTGCCCCCCTTTAAGTAAATCTTTGTTTTTAATGCCACTAAAATCACATATCCAATTATTCACAAAAAAATAAAACACGCGATAGAAATTTTGTTACGAGAGACTATTTGAATCGTCAAAACGAAATATGGCAGTGTTCCGTTCCGTAGTAGTGGACACAATTATAAGTACAGACGAGTTGTGTCCCTTAGTGAACTAAAATTTGATTATCAACATTTGATACACTGTAGTAGGCCAAGCCAATAATTGAATGTTTCTAGGAATTGAGAACAATAATCTTACGAAGCTGTTTTCTTATACAATGTAATACATCAAAACATTAAAAGTGTACACCGAAAACTGCGCTTCTTTGAAAGGAAGAAACGAATACAGCTACATATTTTAATCCAATTTTGTTTCTGATAGATCTTTCAGACAAACAAATTATATTTCAGGATGTCAGTATGTAAGTACATACTCTATTCACGGCGGATAACAATGTAATGCTACAGTTACAATCATAATATATTTTTACATTCAATATTTTTTCTTGAAACTTGCTGATATTTTATAAACTTTTACATTACATACGGTAAATAGCCCACTCATTTGGATAATGCTAGGGTAATGACAGTACTAATTTTTATTTATGACAGATACATGTTCTATCCTGAATAAATAATTATATTCCAGACCACTTTCATTAAAACATAGATTACGAATTCAGTTTTCTTTAGAAATATCACTCCATATTTGAGGTTCTATATTTAACGATAATTTGTTTTTGCTAAAGTCTCACAAGATATTTTCTACTTTTTTTTTTTATCAAAATAGATGGTAATTACTAAATACACCTGAAGGGTTTTCTATATCTTTCAATCACTTTTGATAAATCTTTACGTCTTTCAATCTTTGTTTTTCAAACAGATTCAAATAATCTCTACCAATCGTACATGTTTTTTTTATTATTATCATTATTTTCCGGCAAATTTAAGACACTTTCTATAAAAATATTTGGAACATTCTATATCCATTTAAATTCCATAGTTACATCGGTTTGTGTATTAAATAAACTGTATGGTCCACCTCTGCATGACTTCACGGAGTAGATCTATAAGATACAGTCTACATCTGTGTACATATATAAAGTGTATCCATGCGTGTATGTCGTGACAGACTATGATAATATATGCCTTACAGACTGCCTTCATTATTTCTGGTATCAATATATGCTGTATATATAGACTTTCCAGGAATTGTGTGCATGATTCATCAGCGATTCGCATCAGTGGGCTAGTAAATATAATATTCTTAAAAATAGCCCTAAACCCAAACAAATTGCAACATCATTTCAAATGGTGGTTATCACTCTTGTATCAGAAACCAGAGATGTGAATCAAATATTTGTCGAATAAATGAGTGTTGAGGGGAATTAAACAGAAAAAAAACCTCAAAGTTGATGATCAAAGATGATTTTGAAAAAAATCTATATCAAAAGCAAGTTTGTTTATTTACTCTAGTGATAATCGTTATTCAGTATCATGTCGTTTAACAGTCGTATTTTGTTCCAGAATATCCATATTCACAAGTTATATATCTTGGTACTGCGTATCAGTGAAAAATATCTATAAAATTACTTTAACGTTGGTGTCTGTCTGCTGGGTTTTTTTTTTTTTTAATTCATGAACAGGTGAAAGACATATTTCATTACAATGCGACGAATTGACAACAGTGTGCATTCCTTATGTTAGGTCGGCAATTCTAAAAAGCATCAAAATACCGGTAGTTCCAAGTTCGATTAAAATAATTACAGTACTTATGTATGAGATGTTAAATTGTATCACAGGTTTGGAGGAATATTTCCAGAAAATATGAAATGAATTATGAAATTCAATTTTCCCCGTATTCATGTAATATACACAAGTTGTTATTTAGCAGTTTGGTCTATTAATGAAATCACCTCGATCCATCCACTTAGTCATCTAAGGAGTGAAATTTGTGTACAGGTTAATAACACTAAACACGCATGCGCCACGTGCTGTTACTCGACAACGGGCCCAATACCTTAATACATAAACCAAGGTATGACATCAGAAGGATGTCAGCGGGTGATGCAGGGGTAACTTCAGGTTAGTTTTTGGATTGGTTCTTCCGATTTTCCTTTTATAACATTGTCCTCGGGTACGATATAGAGGGAATATATTAGGTCAAATTTGAAGAAAATTATTAATGAATAAATAAGTCTGATCACTGGTTCATTGATACATTACTTATCTTTGTGATACTTAAACGGACACTACCTCACCAATATTTCATTTTTTTGTACACGTACCACGTGTAACTTCCTGGAAATTATATATCATAGTTTTATTACAAGAGATTGAACTACAGGTGTTGCTGCTTGTTATATTCTATGAGTAAATATTGTTGTACCATTAACTTTTTTTGTTTCATCAATCGTATATCTCCATTTGTAAAGATTCCAGTGAAATTTTCATCAGCGTGACCTGTATGTTTTACAAATCAAGGATTCGTCATATTTCCTAATGACTAATTTGAAAGTAAAAATGATAATATTTACGGTCTCCAGATTAATGAATTATGAAAAACCCGGATTAATTTTGATAGCACCCACATGCCTGTTCGTACACCAGCATGAGGGCACCAGTTATAATTGTTTATTCAATGATAATTCATATCACAATCAAAATTGTAAAAAGTAATTTTTATATGTATGCAGCCGGGATTGAAATATGACAATTCCTACGAGTCAAGTCAACGGAATATATCACATAAATAACTGAAAAGGTCGCAGATCGAACGCACGATGGAAGATTACCGGTACATTTCTATAGGGCTGTTGTGATAGCGATGAACGAGTGATATCACTGATGTAAGTTAACCATCTGATGTCAGATAAAAACCGCCACGTTCGCACTTTCTTGACTTTTTATTGTATAATATGAAGTACTTAAATGCTAGACACAACAAATCCTTCAGGATATACTCCGTAACAATATCAATTTAAACTCATTTTTTTCAAAACCTGTCGAAATCAAACAATGTATGCGATAAGAGACGTCCATGGCATGTCTTTTTGCAACCCGTATTCGAAAAAAGTAGATATTCACGGCCTTTTAAAAGCTGTTTATGATGTGTGCAACACTTTGTGCAAATTAACTAGTTCTGGTAAGACGAATTTATGTTGAACGGCACTTCTGCTATTACATTCTTACACGCATCAGCTACAATTTTTCACAATTTGGAATTAAAAATAGCTCCCAACTTCAGCCCCGGGGACCAACTTTCAACATTCGTAAATTTTACCTGTAGAATTTAAGTATTCGTTATCTTGAATAAATAGAAATACAATTCTTATTTAAAGGTCATGGGCAAAGAAAAAATAATGTTAGATAATGTGTCAAGAATGTGTTCGGTGTATCCATTCCATATTATGTTCAAGAGGTTAAGCGATATCTTCATAAACAAGATAACAATGTTCGGAGTTTGTCATCCGAGGAGACGTAAATCAATAATGCAGACCAATAGTAACGACAAAAACAACGTATTTGTTATTCATATATTTTTATCAAAGATTTTTTTATAGGATGCTTCACAAATCCGACCAATGAGCGAGGATCGACGTGTATGTGTTATAGGTTCCTGCAATAAGTCAACACTTTGTTGATATATACCACAAAAATAAAGAATATGTATTTAAGTATCCTGTCTGAATTTTGAGATGAAAAAAATCGATGTTACCTCATTACATTCTGATAGACATAATAGTTAACATTAGGGCTAGTAGTAATGTTACAATATCCATTCTCTTATTCTGCCTAGCCTGTATACAGGTAAATAACACGTCTTGAGACCAGGTGGTAACCCTGGACAAACGCCTGTGTCCAGGTGTGTCAAGGTCAATTTAACTCGAGGTGTTCACCCACTTGCTTCTACACAATAATTACATAGTTTAGATTACATAACTTAATCCCGCTCTATCTATACTAAAATGTAATTAGTTAGAATTAACACCCGACTACTACTAAACGCATAACCGAAAACATAGTCAAACCATCCTATCCATGCATGCATGCACAAAGTATCTCTCCCTCTCCAAAATCTTAGATAACTTAGATAATCACAGTCCATCATAACAATTTCTACTTCAATGAAACATATCAAGTCGAAACCTCCCATAACCCTTCTAAATCAGTACATTCACATAAATCGCATATATAACTATAAAAGTCGGTATAGTGAACAGAAGTATACAGAAGGAATGGAGTGGAATCACAGAAAGCAATAGCCATTGGTAAAGTGATAAAGTAGCTTTAGCTATATGATTGGAAAGGTTTCCAACAAAAAAGTGTTAATAATAATGTTAATTATAATTTCATCTGCCACACTAACCACTAGCTATAGTCCGGTGGATGGGACTTTAAACGGTGGCCCGTGTGAGGATTGTCCACTTTCGCACGCTAAAGATCCCCCTGAGACTGTTCGTTGAAAGAGTAGGCGTGATAATGCCGGCCCAGAGGTCTAGGGATAGCATCAGACAATACATTTTTTAAAAGATGTTAGACTGACTTCAAATTACCCTGACACAGACCAAATATAGATACCCCCCGCCCCAACTCTCCCTCTCAGCTCATGGACATGTACTAACTGCTCGAGTTAGGTTAAGGCAATATAAAGCCCTGGAGCCGTCTTCTAAGACTAGTATTATCAAATGATCACAGCTACAGACGGTTCCATCCCGCTGAGCGGGATACAGGTCGCCCCCTCACATCTCCAGAACACTGACGTTCGTCGGTGAGATGATGATACCCGAACACGGGAGGAGTCAAGGAGACGGAAAACCTGTTAACTAACCAACCAACAAACCATGTATACGCGTGACGTGAAAGGGATGTCAGCACGTGCTGACATTGATATGTGGCCTACAATTAACATGTTGTGCAGATGATGAAGAGTTCACCAGATTGATTTGTTATTTGTTGTTCGTCTCAGCTGTGTTATTTCTTCTCATATCATTTTGTATTGAACAATTTCGCATAAACATCTACCATATTATATGAGACTTCCACTGTGTTTCATTCAGTCACGGCAGTCTGGCAGAATTGACGTCACAGATTTCTGGTGCCAAAGAATCCCGAAAACTACTGGAAAAAAGCCGAAGCGCTGGCAGGTTATCAAACTCACCTGTTACCGAACGCACTCGGCTACAACCTATCCGAAAGTGAAAATCGATTCAGAGTACTTTATAAAAATGCAGAGAAATTTCAACTGTCCATTGATTTCATCTTTTTGCATTTGCATAAACGCTATATTTCATGGCATATTTAGAAGACGGATCATCCAGAAATGTTTTTGGTATTATCCAAAAGAGTTTAGAGGCTATCATGATCCAATGATCATATCTTTCACAAGTAAGTTTTTTTTTGGCTACAACCCCTTTAAGACCTGAAAGTCTATGCCGAACGCACCCGCATTACCGGAAGTTGATGTCTTTAGAGTTAACCCCCTTGTATGACAACTCAGTCGTGATTGCGGTAATAATATTTGATTATGTTTTACACGTAAATGACTCACTTCAGTGCATGCGGACTTGTTCACTTCACGACATTTATCATATACTGAATATATCGGACAAACGCTGGTTGAATCACAGTTGCTGACACTGTAAACATAGGGAATCCACTCCCCCATCATAACGTGACACACCAATGCTTTTCCACCTGGCTCTGACTTACTCCTTGTAGGTATAAACAGTGATGTGATATATCTGATTCGTAACGGTTTGATAGTTACAAAATTCCGATATGATGTCAGGCCAGCCCAACACATCAATGGCCAAGAAATTGCTGGATAGTCTGCAGACAGATCTGAGGACTCTGTCGTCTGAGAGCCGGAGAAAACATCCAAACGTGAAAGAGGTACAGTACTGTAAACATCAGCAACGTTTATGACACTGCCTATCTTACTAGGCAAATCTGGCATTTACAATGTTTCAACACTTAAAGCCACAGGAAATGGCATTTATTGACGTGGTTCAAACATCAACTGTGGTGTAGGAAATTACATGAATTAAGAAACTTTGATATTAACTAGATTCTGACCAAAAAGGGAATGTTGACAAGCAAATATGACATTCACACACACTAACTATTAAAGATGATGAGGTGATGGCATTTGTCATCCCCATGGGTGTTCATTACAGCAATGACTGAGTTGGTTTCAGTCTTGAAGCAACACATTTTACAATACAAAATGAATAAGCAGAAATATTAGATATTTCCTTATGTGTCTTGAGCACCATTTCCTGGTGTCTAGAACACCATTTCCTGTTGTGTGTATAACACCATTTCCTGGTGTCTAGAGCACCATTTCTTGGTGTGTGTAGAGCACTATTGCCTGGTGTGTCTAGAGCACCATTTCCAAAAGTTTGTTGAGTCCAGTTACAAACAAATTAAGTAAATTATCAAAATTTGCAAGTTCTGGAAAAGAATGAGTCCTGGACTCAAATATTCAAGTCTCAAAAATCACTGATAAATGGGTCCGATTTCCGTAACTTGTTAAAGATAGTTTCTGCTACTCAGGATGGAATAAGCTGATGTGGCTATTTTGATAAACCCAATCATTGATTCTTTGGACACTTAGGTTAAATTCTTGTTCAGGTTGCATTCATGTGACAGAGTAATGCAGATAATATATAATGAGCAAGCAGGAATTGGAACACCAAGTCCTCATATTTACATACAGTTGAACCTTGTTATGTCCAACTTGGTGGGACCTATGGGAAAACTTAAGTGAGTTGAAATGTATTATAAAAAGTTATGGCAGGGACCAATGAAGTGCTTAAAATTAAATAATGTCTTAAACAACAAGCTCTAGATAACAAGGTTTGTCTGTATCAGGGTTAGTGGTCCGGACTGCTCAAATTGGATGTGATCAAGTTGTGTGGATAGGGCATGATCTGATCAAACCAGCCGCAATGTCAAGTATATAGCATAATGATGACACACAGTGAAGCAAGTGTGTCTTTCGTCTTAGCTGTAGACTTTAATTTTGTATTTAGGAACTTCAAAAACTCCTTAAATATTCCAGTAAAATTCAGAATTTTAAAACACAGCCCTGGAATCTTAAAATGGAACTCAGCATATTTTTTTTTTTATAATAAAATCCTTGATGCTAATTACATGTACATGTAGATGGGTATTTACAGTTTACTGATAAAATCTGGAACAGTACATTTGTTTTGTTTCTTGCTACATAACTGTGATAATCAGCTATAGAAATATTTTCTTGGACACATTTCAGAGCCTTGTAAGTAACATTTATGACCAGAAATCAAAACGTTAGTAAATCTTACTTATGTACTTTCTGTTTCTTTGTAATATTTAATTAAAGTTAATAAAATTTCCATGTTGTAGGCATCAGAGCAGGTCCAGCTAAGGCTGCGAACAATTTGTAGCAAGAATGAGGACATCATTGCTGGTTGGTATCAAAGTTTTAATGTTGATTTAAAATTTTCCACTAATGTCATGTAGAATGAAGTCCATTGGAGATTCAGTTATATCATAAAAAATATCACACTCTGTAAATTTGTTTTTTTTGTGGAGCTTAAATTTTCTTGGTTTTTCAAAAATATGATTTCATAATTGCTTGATTTCATGGATGAAAAGTACTTGGGGGAATCCCCTGAATATTAAAATTGAAAATCTAAGTAATATCTTTGGCTCCTTACATTATTTTATTTTATTTCAAATGGATATATTATCTACCAAGTGTGATTATATGGTACCCACACTAGTCTTGTGTCCTAGAGATCCTGGTTCTTAAATTACATTGCATTTAAAATGCCCTGTATCAATCAACAACATATGCCTTTATGACAGGTTTGGTGCCAGCCAGTGCAGAAATAGTACATCCATTTGTACTTGGTTGTGAAACGAAAAATTCCAAAATAATCCAATTATGTTTGATGACTGTTCAAAGGCTCATCTCACATGAGGCCTTGTCAATGGTAAGTGTAAAGGCTCATCACAAACAAGGCCATGTCTATGGAAGACTGGTGTCACATGAATCCATGTCTATGGAAGACTGGTGTCACATGAATCCATGTCTATGGAAGACTGGTGTCACATGAATCCATGTCTATGCTATTTATACTTGAAATATTCAGATGCTTATCTCACACCAGACCTGGTCTTAAGTTCCATGACTTTATCTAGAAAATGAATGCCATGTTTCCTGTGTAGAACCTATTTGATCAAATTATCAAATTCATATAATCATAAAAATTTCAGAGGTACCCTGTAAATTGTTTCAATGTTTTTCTTGAAGATGAAATTGTTCTGATAAAGGTTGTTTTCTCATATTTATATATAAGATAAATATCTATACATGGCCTGATTTTGTAAGGATTTTATGAATTTGTTTGGTGTTTTGTAGACTGCAGCTAACAATGTGATACAGATGTTGTGGCAGCTGATGGAAGCTGGCACGGAGGAACTGAAACTTCTTCAGACTGCGATCCTCCTTATCACCACCAACTCTGTGGTGCAGCATGAGTCACTAGCTAAAGTAAGTAATGGGTCGTGTATCCAGAGTGAAATATTTCATCTTTAACTTTTGTGAAGTGAGACTTTGTTCAAATGTCCTAAAAATTCTCTTTAATGGCCCCTGATGTAATAAAGATATTTAGTTTAATTCTCACTTTATTTCGGAATAGTCTTTTATAAAATAATACCCTGATATGTGACTGTATAGATTGAAATTTACTTGATTTTAAGTACATTTTATTTGTAGGCACCACTGTTGTTCTTCAGACTAAGATTCCTGGTTAGAGTAAAATTAATCGATTTTAATGACCTTTAGTAGGAACTGGTGTTTTTCTTCAGACCAAGAATCCTGGTTAGAGTGAAATTTAATCAATTTTAATGATCTGTAGTAGGAACTGGGTTTTTTTCTTCAGACTAAGATTTCTGTGTAGGACAGAATTGGATTGATTTGAATGACTTTTTGTATTGTAGGCTCTGGTGTTGTGCTTCAGGCTGCACTTCACTAAGGATAGCACCACCATTAACACAGCAGCAGCCATTATCAAACAGCTTGTCAGTAATGTGTTTGAGAGGGTTGTTGTGGAAGACAAAGTCCAGTCACAGGGTAAAATTCAGTACCATAACTGTTTCCTTAAACTCTGCATGTTTGATAGTCTGTTCTTTTTGCTCCAATGAATATTTAGTTTCACTGTTGATGTTTAGAAACATCTTCAATTTTACTGCAATTGTATATCCATTTGTTTACCATTTGACTTCAGAGGTAGTTTTCTGCGAAAAAATATACATTTAAAGTTGATTTTTCTGTTAATTTCATTTTGAAAATTTTCGATAATAACTTACAGAACAAAGATCACCTCTGAACACTGAGGAATTAAAGGTAGGGAGTAGGAATGCTCCGAAGTCACTGCGGCCGTGTGCTGGCGATGCCTACCTGTTATTCCAGGTAAGATATGCTGTAATACAAATTGATGATACTTTAACCTTTTCTATCTAATTGATTTTAAAATTTTCAAATACATGTAATCTTTTACACACAGAGAATAGTTTTCATCAGTTTTCAGAAAGGGAAATGATTCAAGCTCTATGTATGTATAAACCAAAAAGCGATCGATTATAATGTAATATTATGTGTGTACTGCTGTGATAGAAGTCTCACTCTCTAGTCCCTGTAATATTTTGTGTCTTTGCCCCACTCTTTGTTACCATCACTATATATACAGACACTTTTACAAGGTGTACATTCAGGTAGCTTAACTGATAAAGTTGTATGTGTCTATTACCAGGACCTCTGTCAGCTAGTGAATGCTGATCAGCCATTCTGGCTTGTGGGGATGACAGAGATGACACGGACGTTTGGACTAGAGTTATTAGAGGCGGTCCTTACGTCCTTCCCTACAATATTTCTCCAGGTACAATCACACACATACCACTCTGCCAAATTCTGCTTAGGGATGAATCAGGCATAATCGGCTTCCTTTACTGGACCATGTTTAGTAAAAGGGTGCCCTTAGGCCATTTAATCTATAAAAGGACAAAAAACATTGCAGTTCTGTATTCCTGTCTTCCATTCTTTTTTATTTTGAAATGAAACATTAACCAAATTTACATAGTATGAAATATTTGAACTTTAACCTTGTATAATATAATAATGAGTGGCCAAAAATCTAAAGGGAAATTTCATATCAATACTCTTGTTTTTTTGGGTGGAAAGACTGTTTTATCAGAGTCATACTGAATTAAAATGGTGAGAGTAAAAGTACTGTTTTGTATTATTATCCTATTTCACATGAAATATAACATATATTTCATATACATTGATAAAGCATTTCAAGTCAGCATTGTATTTAATACTTCAAAGAAAGTATTGATTTATGACTTTTACTGGCTGGTGACCATCATATTTAACATACTTACTGATGACTTTGAATATAACCTGATATTGTTACGTTAAATTATACATATAACATATATAATAGCAGCACTTTTTATATTTTAAAAATGTTTTAACATATAACTGCAAGAAAAATCAATGTTTAATTGATTTCAGCATCCTGAGTTCAGTTTCTTGCTGAAGGAACGAGTCTGTCCTCTTGTCATTAAACTGTTCTCTCCAAGCCTCAAATACAGACAGGGGTTACCTGCCCCTCCCTCGCCAGCCCCAGTGGAGAAACCATATTTTCCTATTGTGATGAGGCTACTGCGGATTGTGTCGGCACTTATCAAACATTTCTACAAATTATTGGTCAGTCCTTTCTACTATTACAAGCTATGGGTCATCTCTGAGCAAACTATTTATCATGTTGATTTAATCTTAGTAAGAAATTTAATATACTAAATCTAGTTCATTACTTTCTGCTGCTGTTATGTTAGTCAGGTTTCTGTTGAAAATCAACGGCTATGGAGAAGAGAAAAAAAGAAGAAATAGGCATCTTTTAACAACACAATATTAAACTAAAGAATGGAAAGAGCTTCACTATACAATTAAATGAAGTGTAAAGATCCATTTTATGTATTATATTTATATGGAAACTGAATCAAACAAATTGTGTTTAACTGAACCACAATTTTAATGTTATTAAGAAGTGGTTACCCATTACATCTTACTCAACTTACTGACTTAGACATGTATCTTTACTCTGGCCATTTAATTGTTTATTGTCTCCATACCTTTTACATGTCAATTTGCAGTAACTGTGTAGTCAGGATGTTGAAGCATCATACTCCATAATTTAATAATGTAATGCGAGGATTGGAAATAGTTTTTTGAAATTATTAAGATATTTTTCTCCATAAAAACACCTAAATACATTGTTATAGTATTAAATGATTCCTTAGATACTAATTCAGCTGAATGCTTATTGATGCCTAGAAGAATTCCTTATTTGGTTTATTAAAAGATCACCTAGGTAGTAAGTAATTTACTTGTTGCCCTGAATTGGATTTGTAATCTGCTGACAGTCTTATGTGACAGGTTGAAGCTGGACTTCATTGTAGTCCTTTGTTAGATTTAATAGCTTTCAATTTTTTCATGCAAAAAGCTGCTTTTTACAATTTCCAATTACATTTTTGTTGTTCTATATTCAAGATGACAGAGTGTGAGATATTTCTGTCCCTTCTTGTGAAGTTTCTGGAGCCTGAAAAACCGATGTGGCAGAGATGTCTATCCTTAGAAGTTCTTCATAAACTTAGTGTCCAGCCAGACTTAGTGAGGTAAGTACTTGCTCCTGGTAGTCAAGCAGATAGAGTTTCTATTCCCAGTGATTTGAAAGTTCAAAGTCAGTAATTCATCTTTAAACATGTCATGATATCTGTGACTGCAATGATTTGTTGTCATTGATTCTTGTTCAGTCATGGCTAGATATCTTTGTCTTGAATTATTTGATACCATTTTTACAGACTTTGTTAGAAATCTTCTGCTCTAATTATTGGATACAATTGACTCTAGTTCAGGATTGGCTAGATATGTGCAACTCTGTTACCACTGACTCTTATTGAGGCTGAGCTAGAAATCTTTGACTCTGATCTTATGATACGATTGACTCTAGTTCAGGTATGACTAGATATCTTTGTTTCCAATCTTTTGTTACCATTTCCGTTACTTCAGTGATTACTAAAGTGATGAAGGTCACACAGTTTGTCCTTGATTTTAATTACTTCAGTGATGAAGGTCACACAGTTTGTCCTTGATTTTAATTACTTCAGTGATGAAGGTCACACAGTTTGTCCTTGATTTTAATTACTTCAGTGATGAAGGTCACACAGTTTGTCCTTGATTTTAATTACTTCAGTGATGAAGGTCACACAGTTTGTCCTTGATTTTAATTACTTCAGTGATGAAGGTCACACAGTTTGTCCTTGATTTTAATTACTTCAGTGATGAAGGTCACACAGTTTGTCCTTGATTTTAATTACTTCAGTGATGAAGGTCACACAGTTTGTCCTTGATTTTAATTACTTCAGTGATGAAGGTCACACAGTTTGTCCTTGATTTTAATTACTTCAGTGATGAAGGTCACACAGTTTGTCCTTGATTTTAATTACTTCAGTGATGAAGGTCACACAGTTTGTCCTTGATTTTAATTACTTCAGTGATGAAGGTCACACAGTTTGTCCTTGATTTTAATTACTTCAGTGATGAAGGTCACACAGTTTGTCCTTGATTTTAATTACTAAAGTGATGAAGGTCACACAGTTTGTCCTTGATTTTAATTACTAAAGTGATGAAGGTCACACAGTTTGTCCTTGATTTTAATTACTTCAGTGATGAAGGTCACACAGTTTGTCCTTGATTTTAATTACTTCAGTGATGAAGGTCACACAGTTTGTCCTTGATTTTAATTACTTCAGTGATGAAGGTCACACAGTTTGTCCTTGATTTTAATTACTTCCATGATGAAGGTCACACAGTTTGTCCTTGATTTTAATTACTTCAGTGATGAAGGTCACACAGTTTGTCCTTGATTTTAATTACTAAAGTGATGAAGGTCACACAGTTTGTCCTTGATTTTAATTACTTCAGTGATGAAGGTCACACAGTTTGTCCTTGATTTTAATTACTAAAGTGATGAAGGTCACACAGTTTGTCCTTGATTTTAATTACTTCAGTGATGAAGGTCACACAGGTTGTCCTTGATTTTAATTACTTCAGTGATGAAGGACACACAGTTTGTCCTTGATTTTAATTACTTCAGTGATGAAAGTAACATAGAATACTCTCGACTATGACTACATAATCATGTCTGTCTTGTTTCAGGTCTTTCTGTCAGAGTTACGACATGAAGCAACATTCTACAAAGATATTCCGTGATATGGTCAATGGCCTTGGAGCATTTATTCAGTCTCAGTTTATGAATCCAACCGTTGGTCAAACTGCCCAAACAGGTATTTATTGCGAGTTGTATTGTATATGGACTTTGTTTTGTAGTTAACCTTAAGAACATGATTTATGACAAGAGAGCAGAATCTTTAACCTCAACAAATGCAAGATATGGTGTTAAACTTAAAAATCCTACCTTCTGCTTGAGTTGTCTCTGTCTATATCATACAGAGGTGATTGACTATTTTCTCCCATACTTTCTTTGTTGTTATAGTATAGTGAATACATAGAATCATCATTGATGATCAGTGAATTGTGTCAGATCTGATAATGCTGTCTAATTATGATAGAGTTACGCTACATAAAGTGACTGTGACCCTATATGAGTGTTGACATCAAGTGCATATGAGCTATCTTTTCACAAAGGAAAGAGAGGTTTTCCCCCTCAAAAACAGGAATGCACCAGTAAAGTGTATTAAATACACCTTTAAATGGTATTTGACATAGAAAAAACCCAAGGTTTTGATAGTGAACTTTATTGATTAAATTTCTATTGAAGGATTAAAAGCACCTGACACCCAGGGCACTCCACCGGCCATGGTAGGGGGGCTTCCTGTAGGTGGTGGTGTGACCCCACAGCCTGCCTTTATGTATCGAGGAACATGGATACCATTGGTGATAGTCAGCGGTCAGGCGAGATCCCTATAGTAAGTAAAAATCATCCCAAGTTTGGTCATCATGTGATGTACTGCCTTAATATAACATGTCGTGTTTATCATCTTCAACATCAATGGAATATATTTGAAGGATATTAAAATTAACAATTGATTTTCTACATACCAGTGTATCATTTAGATATGGAGTATACTATTGTATAACTGAGAGAATAGTTAAATTTATCTGAACTCTTTCCTGTTACATATGTAACTAGCATGATCAACAAACAAGTGCTAGCTATAATATCTGATTAATTTTACAGGTCCCTGTTACTTTATCAGCATATTGTGTTATTTTTGTCCGTCTCTCTGTTTGTCCTGTTGGATCCAGTCTCGTCCTGTTCTGAATAGATATAACTTAGTACTCCTAAATAAACTGGATTAAAACTTTGTCTAAAAGTTACATAACATAAAGTTTTACACCTAATCAGATTTGGGTTTGTGCAGGACTTTCTGCTTTTATGTTTTATACACATTTTCTAGTTTCTAATTTTATAGACAGTTACAACACCTCCTTGTTGTCACTTATAATGAATTGTTTGATTGTTAATAGCCTGGAGATGCTGGATAAGGTGGACCCACCTAACATTGTGGATGGTTATGGACTGTCCTTGGCCTTCCACTGTCTGGTGGAGGTGGTCTCCAGTGTACAGCACCTGTTACAGGGTGACCTTGGCAATAAAGATGACCAGAAGATGGTGGATCACAAGACTAGCAAGCACCAACAACTAACAGGTATTGCTAATTCATGATATTGAAAAAAAAAAAGAAAAAAAAAACAACCCTCCCCATCTCCTTTTAGGAGAAAATGAGGAGTTTTGATTTGTATGCATATTTGTCACTGTTGTGTTTCTGTTCAATATCTACCCAAAATTTAGACTGATTTCAACAAAAAAGCATACACAATATACAACATAGTAAGCATCACTCTGACTCCATCACTACTGTTGCAGCACTTTAATCCCATGGAATTAAAAGCATTGGGAGGATGAATTAGATATTTAGACAGATTTCTTACTCACCTGTCTGAAGGGCTAATGAGCTAATGCAGTGGCAGGGTTTGTTCAAATGACTGACCTTGATCCACTCTCTAGGACACATCCGGGGGTCAAATTTGTAAGCATCTTCAAATTACTTTTTTTCAATAACCAAAAGGCCAAGGGTACTGATATTGGGTCTGAAGCATGCCTGGATAAAGGGCTGCCAAATTTGGTCAAATGAATGACTTTGATTGACTTTCAAGGTCACATGGGTCAAGAACTTCACATCTTCTTTTCAATAACTGATAAGTCCTTGGTCATTATGTTTGTGTAGTAGTATGTTAGAGAATTGCTTTTCATGTTTGAAAAAGTTGTCCTAACAAACTGACAATGCCGTCTTCTTTGTAAGCTTCAGAACAGGTGAATGATTCAGGCCCATTGGACCTCTTGTTCTGTAATCGGCCTTTTTCTGTTGTTGATTTGCTTGAATTGTTAACTTGTAATGCTATGTGTTTTATGTTACTACAGATGAAGAACGAGGTCTACATGAGGAGCTAATCAACTCTTCCTGGTGTGGGATGTTGGCTGCAATGTCTCTTCTCCTGGACGCAAGGTAATGTCTCTTCTACTGGACGCTAGGTAATGTCTCTTCTACTGGAAGCTAGGTAATGTCTCTTCTAATGGCCGCTAGGTAACGTCTCTTTTACTGGACGCTAGGTAACGTCTCTTCTAGTGGACGCTAGGTAATGTCTCGTCTACTGGACGCTAGGTAACGTCTCTTCTACTGGACGCTAGGTAACGTCTCTTCTACTGGACGCAAGGTAATGTCTCTTCTACTGGAAGCTAGGTATTGTCTCTTCTACTGGACGCTAGGTAACGTCTCTTCTACTGGACGCTAGGTAACGTCCCGTCTACTGGACGCTAGGTAACGTCTCTTCTACTGGACGCTAGGTAACGTCTCTTCTACTGGACGCTAGGTAATGTCTCTTCTATTGGATGCTAGGTAATGTCTCTTCTATTGGACGCTAGGTATTGTCTCTTCTACTGGACGCTAGGTAATGTCTCGTCTACTGGAAGCTAGGTAATGTCTCTTCTATTGGACGCTAGGTATTGTCTCTTCTACTGGACGCTAGGTAATGTCTCGTCTACTGGACGCTAGGTAATGTCTCTTCTACTGGACGCTAGGTAATTTCTCTTCTATTGGACACTAGGTATTGTCTCTTCTACTGGACGCTAGGTAATGTCTCTTCTACTGGACGCTAGGTAATGTCTCTTCTACTGGATGCTAGGTAATGTCTCTTCTATTGGACGCTAGGTATTGTCTCTTCTACTGGACGCTAGGTAATGTCTCTTCTACTGGACGCTAGGTAACGTCTCTTCTACTGGACGCTAGGTATTGTCTCTTCTACTGGACGCTAGGTAATGTCTCTTCTACTGGACGCTAGGTAATGTCTACTGGACGCTAGGTATTGTCTCGTCTACTGGACGCTAGGTAATGTCTCTTCTACTGGACGCTAGGTAACGTCTCTTCTACTGGACCCTAGGTAACGTTTCTTCTACTGGACGCTAGGTAATGTCTCTTCTATTGGACGCTAGGTAATGTCTCGTCTACTGGACGCTAGGTAATGTCTCTTTTATTGGACGCTAGGTATTGTCTCTTCTACTGGACGCTAAGTAACGTCTGGTCTACTGGACGCTAGGTAATGTCTCTTCTACTTGACGCTAGGTAATGTCTCTTCTACTGGACTCTAGGTAATGTCTCTTCTACTGGACGCTAGGTAATGTCTCTTCTACTGGACGCTTGGTAATGTCTCTTCTACTGGACGCTAGGTAGGCTGCAGCTTTGAAAACTGGACAGTGAATAGATTATGTGGTTTTGCTCAGAGATCTTTGTCTGATACTTATGTTTGATATTTACATATAATTGGTAAGGAAACTTAATTTATTCTAATGAAGTAATATAATGATTTGATACATAGTTGTCACCTATTCAAAACCAAAAAGCTAAAAATTTGATATCTTATTCCTGTAACCAAACTTTTGTTACAGTACTGACGAGAGTGCCACACAGGCTATACTGAAATCTTTACAGACATTTGCAAATCTGTGTGGAGTTTTACAGATGAATATACCAAGAGATGCCTTCATCACTGCTTTGTGTAAAGCATCCTTACCACCACACTATACACTGACCATCCTCAACAGCCAATCCAATGCCCAGGCAGCTCAGCGAGGTAAATACCAGATCCTATCACCCAGTCATTGTATTGGTGACCTAGAAGAGAAAATATCTCTTAAACAGGCAACATAGTAGATTAAGTACGTCTTTTATCCTTATATCACCTACTTCCGGCTCAGTAGGATAATTATAGTAAAAGATTTAACTATTTGAACTGTGACTTTAATCAACTCTTTTAACAATCAGAAGTAAGGTTCTTTGATTTGATACCAAATGATTACATTTTTTCCAATAACCAAAAACTTACAAAAAGCATAATGATGACAATCAGGATAAATTTTCATATTAATCAAATATTCTATTGACTTAAACTATGTGCTTAATATAGGTCAATATGGTACCAAATACCTGGTAGGTATAGTATAAATACCTGTTGAGGTTGGGCTACATTATCACTTTTAAGGTGTAACATTGGGATATGATATTACAGATACCATATATATCCTGTAATAAGACCAGGAGACTTTTAAGGTGTAACATTGGGGTATGATATTACAGATATCATATATACCCTGTAATAAGACCAGGGGACTTTTAAGGTGTAACCTTGGGGTATGATATTACAGATACCATATATATCCTGTAATAAGACCAGGGGACTTTTAAGGTGTAACATTGGGGTATGATATTACAGATATCATATATACCCTGTAATAAGACCAGGGGACTGTCTATAATTATGGATGGACTTATTGCAGACATGGGCTTATTACTGGTTCCATGCTTTATAAGGATTTATTGCTGTATCTATGTCTGTATCATTTTACTGGACGATAATAGCGTTATCCATATCTTGTGCTTCGTCATTTCACATACTGTTATGTCTCTTCCTGTCATATTTTGCTATGTTGCCTCCTGTCATATAGCCTGTTTCATCATGTTGCCTCCCGTCATATAGCCTGTTACATCATGTTGCCTCCCGTCATATAGCCTGTTACATCATGTTGCCTTCTGTCATATAGCCTGTTACATCATGTTGTCTCCTGTCATATAGCCTGTTACATCATGTTGCCTTCTGTCATATAGCTTGTTACATCATGTTGCCTTCTGTCATATTTTGTTATGTTGCCTCCTGTCATATAGCCTTTTACATCATGTTGCCTTCTGTCATATTTTGTTATGTTGCCTCCTGTCATATAGCCTTATACATCATGTTGCCTTCTGTCAGATTTTGTTATGTTGCCTCCTGTCATATAGCCTTTTACATCATGTTGCCTTCTGTCATATTTTTAGCCCACCATCATCAGATGGTGGGGTATTCAAATCGCCCTGCGTCCGTGGTCCGTGGTCCGTCTGTCCGTCCGTCCGTAAACAATTCTTGTTACCGCTATTTCTGGAAAAGTACTGGATGGATCTTTCTCAAATTTCATATGCAGGTTCCCCTTGGTCCCTTGTTGTGCATTGTACTTTTTTTGGATTGATTCAAATTAAAGATGGCCGACAGGTGGCCATCTTGGATTTTGGAAGTAAAAGTTTGTTACCGCTATTTCTGGGAAAGTACTGGATGGATCTTTCTCAAATTTCACATGCAGTTTCCCCTTGGTCCCTAGATGTGCATTGTACCTTTTTTGGACTGATTCGAATTCAAGATGGCCGACAGGTGGCCATCTTGGATTTTGGAAGTAAAAGATTGTTACTGCTATTTCTTGGAAAGTACTTGATGGATTTTTCTCAAATTTTATATGCAGGTTCCCTTTGGTTCCAAGTTGTGCATTATACCTTTTTGGACTGATCCAAAATCAAGATGGCTGACAGGCAGCCATCTTGGATTTTGAGAGTAAAATCTTGTTATTGCTATATCTGAGGAAGTACTGGATGGATCCTTCTGATATTTCATAGATATTGGTTTCCCTTGGTCCCTAGTTGTGCATTGTACCTTTTTTGGAAATCAAGTTGGCCTACAGGCAGCCATCTTGGATGTCGACAGTAATACAGCACAAACATATTGTCCATTATCCACCTGTAACTGACTGCTATCTAATAATACTTTGGGATCTTTTTCGAATGATATTTGCTAATAGGTGCTTAAAAAGAATATCTTGTGCCATCATTGAGTACATTCAATGAAGACCAGTTCATGAACATTTACAACACCTGTAACAAACAAAAAAAAATAAACAAATCTTCAAGAACTGAAAACAGATCCTCAAATGGTGGGCGCCAAGATCCCTCTGGGATCTCTTGTGTTATGTTGCCTCCTGTCATTTAGCCTGTTACATCATGTTGCCTTCTGTCATATTTTGTTATGTTGCCTCCTGTCATATAGCCTGTTACATCATGTTGCCTTCTGTCATATTTTGTTATGTTGCCTCCTGTCATATAGCCTTTTACATCATGTTGCCTTCTGTCATATTTTGTTATGTTGCCTCCTGTCATATAGCCTGTTACATCATGTTGCCTTCTGTCATATAGCCTGTTACATCATGTTGCCTTTCTGTCATATAGCCTGTTACATGATGTTGCCTCCTGTCATATAGCCTGTTACATCATGTTGCCTTTCTGTCATATAGCCTGTTACATCATGTTGCCTCCTGTCATATTTTGTTATGTTGCCTCCTGTCATATAGCCTGTTACATCATGTTGCCTTCTGTCATATTTTGTTATGTTGCCTCCTGTCTTATAGCGTTTTACATCATGTTGCCTTCTGTCATATTTTGTTATGTTGCCTCCTGTCATATAGCCTGTTACATCATGTTGCCTTCTGTCATATTTTGTTATGTTGCCTCCTGTCATATACCCTTTTACATCATGTTGCCTTCTGTCATATTTTGTTATGCTGCCTCCTGTCATATAGCCTGTTACATCATGTTGCCTTCTGTCATATTTTGTTATGTTGCCTCCTGTCATATAGCCTGTTACATCATATTGCATTCTGTTCAGTCCTATCTTGATTATCTCACAACAGATTTTATTTATATTCACACCACAATATCATTACATCAAGTTCTACACCTGGTCGTATTTAGGTAATTATCGGTCAAAGTTAGAGGTCAAAGGTTGCTTTGACAACTTTAACATGCTTCGGCATAGGTGCAACCGTTTGTTACATTCTCAAACTTTCTTTTCTGTTTTAGTATTTGAAAATATTTTGTACCTTTTTTCCAAGGGAGAAGTTTTGTTCCCTATTACCGTTCACCTTCATTGCTGATTTTGACCTTGAGGAATGTTAAAGAAATAAGTATCCATAAGTCTTTCACACACAATCAATAAATGCATAATGTATTAATATATATTGTGTATTTGTTAAGGTCACTACAGGACTTCGAGCCAGGATCTTCCCTCCCTGGGGCTCGAGGCTGTTGAGAGGAGTCAAGTGGTTGCTGTGGGAACGCCCCTGCCCACAGCCTCTCTTCCTGCCGGAGCCCACACCGGGCCAGTCATGGTAGGTACTAAGTTGTCAGACTGATTTGTTTGCTGTTTGTGTGTTTTCTTTACTCTCTCTTTCATGCAGTCAATTATTGAAGACTGAAAAAGGATTTTAAAAGTTCTATTCCAAAGATCTGTTTGTTAGTTGAGTCATTTCTGTGGCTTTGTTTTACTTCATTTCCTGCTTATTTCCAATGTGTTGGTATTTACTTATTAATTCCGCAATAAGCCCAAGGAATCAGCAAACAATTCTGACTCAGAAACAGGAGCTTATTGAAAGCCAAGGAAATAGCAGTAGTTGATACTGAGCCCCAATAAGTACGGACAGACTTCTGACTTGGAATTATGGTTTAATGACATATGTAAAGCAAAATATTAATGGTAAAATTAATTTGAAAAATCCCGTGAAAACTTCAGTACAAATTTCTGACTTACACATAAACATTTTATATGAAATAACCTGGATAAAAGTAGATAAAAGTACTTAAATGTAGCTGTAATCAGTTATGACAATTGCTTTTATCTCAAATGTGACAGAGTCGAGGAATCGGATATAGGTGTTATGTTTTTGGCACTGGCAGGATTGTTTGTAACTAGCTCAAATTATATATATAAAAAAAAAAAAAATACCTGGACACAATAGAGTTATTATCACCAAACCTGCTTTATATATAAACAGGAGCATCTCAGCTTGTGGTTTTCATTTTAATTGTAGTCTTTAATTAATCATTAATTGGACTATGATTATCAAACCATTGTTAATGTTTCTTGTTCAGCTCAGTGTCGAGCTTAATGTCTCTCCAAATACATGTACTGTCATTAGCAACCATAGAACCCACATTTTTAGATTCTGATTTCCACGTATAGTTGACCATTAATTGGACTAGTTGATTGATTGTTGAATCACCTTGGTGTGAAGCTTACTGTCTCTTAAAGTACACGTGTTCTCATTACCAGTCCTGGAATATGTTGTCATCCTATCCCAACACACATTTCAGGTTTTGAATTTAACTTACAGTGTACTATTAATTGGAGTTATGTTATTTAATTAACTGTACGATTCTAAAGCTTTTCATTAAGTTTAATTGTGGACAAGGTACAAATGCTAGACTAATCCAACTAGGGTTAATCAAGTGTTGTAGCTCATAAATCTCCAACCTGTTTTTGTGACTTTGTGAAACTTTGTTTTTTAATTTTTTTTTTTTTAAACTTTATACAATTTTGGGGATTTTGAGAAATATAGCTATGAAATATTTAAACAAATTTTTAGAACAAGAAATGTACTTTAAAAGATACAACACATATTTACTTTATGATATATGGAGAAGTATGAGACATAATGTTGTGTAGTTATTAGTATCTTATCTGTGTTTAACCAGTTAACTGCTAAGAACATCCAGTGTATGCGGGCATTACTGTCAGTGGCTCACTGTCACGGTGGCATCCTAGGGACGGCATGGCATCTTGTGTTAACAACGCTTCAAGTAAGTCTTTTACACTTAAATCTCCTCAGTTCTCCAATTAGATTGTGCTACATCAGTCCTCTCATATGTTCATTGTATCAAGTGGTTTTCCCTTTATATGATAACCGAGTGTCATATTCTTTCAAGTTACATATATAAACAATTGTGTTGAGTTACATTGGACAGAGATCTAATGTTATACCTAATTGCCTATAACAGTGTTTACCTTGAGTATCCAGATAACTATAAAATATGTTGTATACATCACTGCAGCACCTAGTGTGGATACTAGGCCTGAAACCGTCCTCTGGAGGAAGTCTGAAAGTTAGTCAACAGATCATGGAGGGGTCAAATGCTGTTATAACTACTGCTGTCATGGCTGACCTACCTGTACTGTCGGCCATGTTGTCACGGCTGTTTGAGAGCTCCCAGTAAGTCTCATTACTATCTGTGATTTTTCCCCTGAACCATATAACATCGCAAATGATTGTGCAATATTACTGAAAAAGTTTTTATGAGATTGATAATTTCTGATATTTCACTGGTAAAATGTCATGAATGGCCATATTTAACCTGTCCCAGGTACCTGGATGATGTGGCCCTGCACCACCTGATCGATGCCTTGTGTAAATTGTCAGCTGAAGCAATGGAGCTGGCCTACACCAACAGGGTAAGTACAGTTCTATAATAACCTCAGTCAGTGACAGCATAGTCCTTAATGCTTCTAAGTTTTGATTGGCTGAGACAGATTAGGAAAGGTAATGATTGGCTAAGACAGATAAGAAAAAAATTTGTACTTGCCATGATGGTTATTTTTTGTTTTCTTTTTTTATTTAAGTAAATTTGGTTTGATTCTTTGTAGTTTCTGTGACAAGTTTCAGAGAAATGGATAGTATCTAATTGAAACAGATATAGAAATTTCATCGTTATCATAATTCAATTCCCCATTTCTGACTGTTTGAAATTATGTTTAGTGGATGTCCAATCTTACCCAATGCTTGTGTGAATTAAAGAAAAGAATGCAGGGGATTTTGCAACAGTACCAATATGTCTGTAGGAAGTGTAGTTAGAGTTATCTTCCTTTGTACATGATGTTGTAGTCAGAAGTTCATGCATGTCAGAATGAGTACATATCCTTAGACAGTAAACATGATGTACCTGAATGCTAATTTTCAAATTTTATTATGAATTTTTGCTAGAATTTTAAAATGTTCATGCTGCAAATTTTAGATAAATTTCTAATTTTGTCCTGTTGCTGTGTCAGTGTTCATGTGTTGACCAGTTTTGAAATGAATTACGTGAATTTGTGTATTCATCTTAATTAATTTGCATTTCTTTTGCATACAATATTTTTTTTATATATAATTTTTTCATTTGTAAAAAAAAAAAAAAAAAATAAGTGTTTGTGCTAGTTATGTGGTGTTTATAAGTAAGGCTGTTTTTTCCCCTACCACTACAGGGAATGTACTTTGCCTCCTGGGACTCAGTATGTGATATTTCATTACTTAAAGCTTACTGTAGCTGTTACATGTATATCCTCATCATCATCCATATCTCCATCATCCAGTGTTGTCATTCAAGCCTGCATTTTCAGCCTCCGTCTCACAGGATGCCTTGAATGTTGTTCTGTTTTTGTAACACCCACAACGAGTTTTACTTTACCGATTTTATTTGTGCATGCTGTTAAAAACCTGTAACACAACACAAATAAATCAAGTGGAAAAGTATGCAATCCAACACACTATCAAATCTATAAATCAACTAAAAACCTTTTTAATGTAACACTGTATGTGGTATAAAATTTTAACTGCTACCTTAGCAGTTTAGAATGTTCATTTTTTTTCACATCCTACATATTCCTGAGTTTGCAAATATAACCAAGTGAGAAATAGCACATAGTTAATGGCTAAATTGGTACCTTCAGGAGGTAAAAGCTGTTATTCCCAATCTGTATGACACATCATAGTGTCCATTAAATATTCAAAAGAATCAATCAGGACCAAGTTTCTGGGAATACAGAAAATTGCATAAAATTCAGTTTCTTCAACACCAGCTTTTGCATTTTCATAAAAAAAGGTGCAATATATTTTGATCTTTTGAAAAAAATTTATAGTCTGTTTGGTCACAAGAGATCTGTACTCCTGGATATGTTAAAGTGTTTTACATAGGTTAAATCTAATGTAGATAGTGTGATGGGATCTGAAGGTCTCAAGTGGTGCCTAATCATTTTTTTAACATGTGATTAGGTCACATGGGGTTTCATTCACAGGTTTACATGAATACATGACTATATATCATGTAACCACCCTGTTATCTATTTCCTGGTTTGTTTGTTGTGTTTATCGCCTCACGAACAGCCAGGGTCATTTGGAAGTCGGTTTTCTTTGTAGTAACTGTGACTTCCTCACAAAAAAAGTATAGGAAGCTTTATGCATGCCATCCAGATCAATTTAGGTTAAGTGTTATTCCCACTCATGGACACAACCACTACAGAACAAATAACACCCTTTACAGAAATTTTGGTTGTAATCACATGTGTAATATGACCATGTGAGTTTTGATTGGCTTGAGGTTGCCATGGTTTCCATTTTGACATCATTTCTTCATACTGTCATATGTAATGTAATGTCACCAAAGAAGAAATGATTTAGAGTATACATTCAAATCAAAATTTGTAGCTGTCTAATAAATTACTTTTGTGAAAAATACTTGCAAAAGTGAATAGGTTATTTGATAAACAGAATCTTACATCTGTTTCCATTTCATGCAAGATTTATGAAACTTGTTACAAAATTTCCATTTTACCTTGTTTCAGTAAAATTAACAATTCTTAGACTCAATTTGTAAATCTCATATGAATAGAAACCCACATTAGATCCTTTTTTACCCTTGTAATCAAACAATATAACTTTCAATAAAAAAGAATCATGTTATCCAGTATAAAATAGATATGTTTCACCATAATGCTGTATAAGATTGAATAAAAATACTTAGTCAACAAAAACAAATGTGAAAAGGAAAGCATTCCATGGGAGACAACTCCATTGTGTGATAAAGATATTTTTTTCCTTCTCATTCCATATGCACATCATATAAATTCAAGTACGTCTTAATAAACAACTGCATATTTTTCCTACATTCTAATGGGTTGGAATTGATCACCATTTACTAACATTAAACTCATACTTCACCGTGCAGTTATTAAAATACATAACTGCATGTGTTAAAGCTTGGATAACCACTTTTTTTTCCTTTATTGGGATCCATATCTGCTTTATAGCTTCGATAAATCTTCCAGTAAATTCAGTGTAAAATTTCATAGGTCATTAGCGATATGAAGGAATAGAAAACAAATTGAATTAAGGAAATATTGATGCAAAGTTTTATTGTCAATTCTCATCAATTTAATTAAAAAGAAAAAGTAATAACTTTGTGGATGTTTTTCTTTTTTAAATTTATACTCGTTAAACTCACGGTATGTGGATAAGTGATGAATTTTGTGGAAGTTTTGATGGGAATAGGTATGGTTTGATTTTAATAGATGTGTGACTTGATTTAAAGTGATTCTGTCTACTTTGTCTCAGGTCTTTCTCTGTATGTACTTGTTGCTGTCTGCATGTTTCCTCTAGTTATGTAACGTGTTGTCATTCTCCTGTTTAGTTGTTGTTGATAATTTTAAACTTTGTTCTTCATTTTAATAAATGAAATGTGTTTGGAGTGATTCAAGTTAAAGTCTACAAAAATTCTAAAATCTCTTGATCATATCTAAATAAAAACTGATGCTGTTTTGAATACAGTATGTAACAAGAACCTACAGCAAGAAAGATTTCAAACATCTTCACAGCAGTGGTGATGTCAGATTTTTTATTAAATTGATAATTTCTGATGTTCCTAATAGAAAATGTAATATTACTGCCTTGTTAACTATAATTGATTTACTGTAATGACTTAATGAGATATTTACGGACACCCATGGGAAGTCTTTATGGGAAGCCTTATACACCAATATATTATCATGTCTTCAGTCATTTACAACCTATACAAATCTGAAGCTTTTAAATTTTGAGACAGCTCACATTTTATCAAAAACAGTTTTGTAAGGATTTCAATAATTCTAGTTATGATTTCAAGTGAATTGAAATATTTGAAGCCTTAAGAGATGGAATAGTAGATATAATGAGAGTTTGTCGTGTTGATGTCAATATAGAGATGTTATACGAGGAGACGCCAAGTGGGAGCCGTTGCTATGTAATTTTACATCTGTTTGGATTCTAAGTCTGTTCTGTGATGTTTGGAACATCAATAGGAAAACTTGTAGCATGATATATTGTCACACAAGCACATGTAGGGCTGCACTGCTAATCAAAAAGTAACATCAAATCTATCATTTACATATCTCACATGTCCTGCTGAAATTTTACAAACTAGAATCAAGCTGTATACAACATAATCATTTGTTTGCTTGTTGGGTTTATCACCCAGTGAACAGTCTGGGTCATTTTTAGGCAGAGTTTTCTTGTAGTAGCTGGTGGCTACCTCACTGAACAACATACAGGAGGCCCATTACATGCCATCCAGAGTAGTTAGGGTTAAGTGTCTTTCCCAAGGACACACCCACGAAAGAAAAGACAGGTCTGTTTCTCAGTTTCATGAGAAATACACAACACCATAGGTAGGGAATTTGAAACCACACGCCTTGATGCTATGTAAGCAAACACTCTGAGTGTTTGTGGCCCTGTATACAACATGTAGAGGATTTGAAAAGTAGAGTTACAATTTGATAAAGCAATATACTCTCCTGACTCTTTAAGTTTTTGTGTTGCAAGTGATGGAAAAACTCAGAAGTAATATTATGGTGTTACTTTTCTTATGGCTGCAGGGTTGACATCTAAAAATCCATTGCTTATAAAGTGAAATTTAACTATATTTGGTATGTAGATAGATCACATCATTGACACCTTGAGGTAAATAGCACTTTTGCTGAAACATTACCATATTAGCAAAGTGGGACAGGTGATATATAATTACATGTATTTTTTTTCTTTTTAAAGCAAAAAACAAAAAAAAGAATGTATATCATTGCTTCATTTTAAATAAAAATTAATTATGAACTGTGAATATTGTCATATCACTGGGAATCACAGTTCAATATTCTCTGGGATAGTGATTGACTATGAAAAAAGAATGAAAATTATCCCTTTCATATATTACAAGTTTTACAAACATTAATAACCTGTTTTGCTGTTATTGTGTTTTTTTAGCTTTTCCATTAAGAATCATGTTAGATCTTGGTTGGAGAGGTGATTCTCCCTATAAAGCCTGCGTCATACAATGTCAGACTGTTGTCAGACTTATGAGAGGCCTAACAGGTCTCCTTTTAATCCACAACCAAATATAGACATTGCGTGTCAGTATCCATCAACATTAGATCGCAAAACGAAGGTTATTCCGTTCACGTCGGATGGGTGGAGGAGGGGATTGCTCTCATGAAAAACAACTGTGATATGTACATTTTAAAAGGACCCAAGAGGACAGAACAATGACTTGATGGTCATACTGTTTCAATCAATCTAGTGTTGCTGACACCTCAAGAGCTTGTAGTCCTTACCGACAGGGATTATATGTTAACAATTCAATTATCAATTTGTCTGTCAGTCAGAGTCACACTAG